CCCCCCCCCCCCTTCCACCTATAACTTCCTGAGGAAGCTGTCACCTCATTGGTTCCTTCCTGAATGATCCCCATATTATTACTGCAGGGACATCACAATGATCTTTATCCAAAATTAGCTGCCGTTTTTTTGTTATTATTATTGGAATATCTGGCGTAGAGGAAGAAGAATATTTGGGAGTATTTTACTCTCACGCTGCAAGACTGATTTCTTGTTTTCGTTTTTTTCTCTCCTCGTCTCTTAAGGCTAACATAAGCAAAGTGTGGTCCTGAGTAAATGTAACGCTGCTGTTTACTCCTACTGTAATACAAACCAACGCAAAGCAGAACTGTGACAAACTGTGCGAGTGTGTGCGCACATCCTTTTTGAGGGATGTCATCTGGACTCCTATGCACCTCACTGTTTATATCAGACTCCATTAGGGACCATATGTCCATGTCTAGTTATTATACAAAGGCATACGCAGAGAGAGTGGGGGATCAGATTTAATGAATTAGAGTGTCCTCTCTGTCGCTGATGCATTTTTCCCTCTTTTCCAGCTCAATAGCTCTTTATCCATCTAAATAAAAAAAACTCATGCAGATTTCCATCCTCTAATATCCTCAGGAGTGCATCTATTTAGTCTCCTTCATCCTCCCTCCCTCCTTCAGGCTGTCTGTGAAGTGAGGGGGTGGAGTGAGGTGACAGAGGGCAGATGTTTCCTCCCCGGCTTTGAAGACGCTTGTAAGGATGGAGGGGAGGAATAGTGCAGGGTAAAGCGTGTTTCTCCGTGGAGGTTGGGCGTTTCACGAGGGAGGCCACAATCACAAACAGCAGATACAGGCTCCGTCCTGGCAGCAGCTTTGGAAATGGTAGCTCTCTTTCCAACCTTGGGCTGCAGCCACAAACCCTATAAGTCAAGCTAACACCTCATTTAGTCGAAGCGGCTTTAAATTGTCTCTGTCGTCGACACAGCCGTCGTTGCATCATCTTGCAACTGATCAAACTGAACTTTGCCTGTTCAAGAGGAGTTTACAGTCCATATTTACTCAGAGAGCTGCAATGTTCAGCCAAGTGCTTTTGCTTTTTTTTTGTAATTTAGGGATTTGGAAAACAAAAGCTTGACTGTGCACTGCATCTGTTCCTCCAGTTGTTAAGGGTGTGAAGGCTCAAATTGCTCTTCACCTGAAGGCAATGGGTGTGTGCCTTAAAGCTACATATTGCCACCATGCGGTTAAAGAATTGTAAGTCGCTTTGGATAAAAGCGTCTGCTAAATGACTGTAATGTAATGTAATGTAAATTACTTTATGAAGCAATGCTCAGATTAGACACCACTCATATACTCCATCAGATATAAAGACATTAACATGGCAAAATTACAACAACTTTTATACAAAATGGGAGTCTGTGTTGGGAGGCTGTGTTGCTGGATTTTGGAAAAAAAATGTCAAGGCCCTCTCCTTGAATGTTTCAAAATAAATGAACACTAGTACCACACATTTTAAGCCCCACATGTTAGAAAATAATTGCTGAAAAAGACTGAATTACGTAGTAGTTAATTGAGAAGTCAGACTGGGGGTTTTTTATTCACCATTTTTGTGTTTCGGATATTTTGGTCAGGCCTTAAATAATGGCTTGATGATACACTGGTGCCATCCTTAGCATTACCACTCCCTAGTGTAAAAACTATACTTTCTTTACCTGCCGTCACTTTGCCGGCCCTTTCTGGGCTTAAGTCTCTCCAGAGGGAGCTGTGTGAAGTCAGCGTCGACTGGGGCTGAAGGCTAAAGTCTGAACATTTTGAATTAAAAAAAAAACTGTGTTTTTAAAATATTTGAACACTGCACCTTCAAAGTTTGTACCGTTCCTTTATAGACGGTTAGATAATTGCATTTGTCATTATATTAATATTTTACCAAAATCTGAGTATAACAAAAAGCTGAAATGGAGTTACAAGGCTCTTGACCAGTGAATGTTGAGATTAGTGTTTTGTCCGTTAACGGACGCTCAGCCACCGAGGTCTCCTCAGCAAACACATCTATAAACACAATGTGAATTTCAGAGCTGAATTTAATAACCAGTTACATTGATTGAGTATTTGCATTTTGCAAACCAACACACACCTTTTCAGACAAACATTTTATAAAGCATAATTTTTCATTGAAATGAATGAAACTTCATTCGGTCTTTATTTTTTTGAATTTAATCGCATAATAAGAGCTTTTATATTAGATTTTCTTTGTTTCGTCGTTCCCTCAATTTTGGAAGTGCAAAGGTGCCGACTTAGCAGATGACATGAAGGGAGGCAGGCAGGATGCAGAGGCATTCCACCAGTAGAAACTCCCACACACACACTACGCTGTGACGTAAGTCCACACTGAGTTCCAGAGAAAAGCTATCAGAGGGGAGATGTGCAGCTAGAGCAACAATAATATAAAAGTACAAACTTAACCCCACATTAACAGCACCAAGACTTTAAACAGCATTGATATATTTCACTTTCATACATCAAAATATATGGATCTGTTAAATGTAAAGTTCTCTGTTTTGTCATTATTAGCTGTTAAACTGTGTTGATGGCAACGACCACAACTTGCAGGAGTTGAAAGTGCGGCATAGATGGTTTGTCAATCAGACAAGACCACATTGGATTAAGCTGTAAAAAGAAGCAAAAAGAGAAAGGACACACAATTAGAAAGGAAAATAAAGAGTAGAGAGTCAGATTTTGATGGACGTTAAATTGCCTCAACCCAAACACCAGCTCACCTTTTATGATGACTTTGGCCAGTGCCTCACTAGAGCCGATGTGGTTGGTGGCCACACACTTGTACGTCCCGCTGTCGCTCAGTTTAACGTGGCCGATGAGCAGCGTTCCATCCCTTGTGGCTCCTGGAGGCAGACTCGCCCTGTCCCCCCGGCTCCACTCGAACCGAATGGGATGAGAGCCGTGAGCGAGGCACTGAACGCGCAGCGCATCTCCGGGCTGGAGCCTCACCTGGTCAGGCAGGCAGGTGGCGTACGGAGGACCTGCATGAAGGAGAAAACATTACTTTCATCATGAGCAGTGACAATCTTCACGTGCAGTATCTGTGTCTTTATTATCTGCATCGTCAACTCACTCTCCACCTCCATCTGCGTGTACGCTTCACTGTAGCCATGTATGTTGGTCGCATTACAGATGTATTGTCCTGAATCTTGGCGCCCCACGCTGGTCAGTGTCAAAACTCCACCAGCCATTGTGTGTTTCCAAGGCAGCGGTGCTCGCAGCTTGGACCAGGTGATGACGGGAGGAGGGGAACCTGAAACGAGGGAGGGAAACGGAGAGCTAAGTGAAAAATGAGAAGTGAGAGCAGCACTGAGAGATATTGACACGCACACGCATACAAACATCCTACCACTGGCCTGACACTCCATTGTGATCGTATGTGCCTCCACCACTGTCATTTCTGTAGCGCCCACTGAAGCCACCGGTGCTCCCGGCTGCCCCTCAACGATGATCTCAACTTTGACCTCGGCCACCCCCTCGATGTTTTCAGCCCGGCAAATGTAAACTCCTGAGTCCTCTGGATGCACTACAGGCCACTGAGAAAAGAGTTGGCCATTATGTTCTTTTTGTTATCTTAAATTGTGGAAATAAGGATTACTCGTGCATGTGTTCATATTTCACCTGTATGGTGTTGACATCATTTGTGTCCTTGGTAACCAGCTGCAGGGTGGAGCCTTGGCGTTTCCAGTTCAGCTTGGGCCGTGGCCTGCCTGTGGCCCGACACTCCACTGAGACAGGGTGACCCATCCTGACTCGCAGGGGCCCTGTGGGTGTCAGCCGCACTTTAGGAGCATCTGACAAAGGACACACAGACACGAGTGACGTAGTAAACAAGCAATAACCGACTTTGTGAACACAATACTTTTATATAATGGCAAACCTGTTAGCAAACAGTTGTTCATTTACACATTCAGCAGATCTGTTTTGACCTCATTCTGACTGTCACTATGATGAATGAATTATAGAGCAACACGCAGCGTCAGCAGCAGGTCTTTCTTGGTATCCACTTTTAATCTGTGACAATGAATGCACTTCTCACTCCCAAGAAGGTAGACAGTCCGGAGAAAGCGTTACGTCACTTCCGACTATAGGGAACCCTGCTCACAGGTTCATAAACAGCTGGGACTGCTGGGAATGCTGGCAGCAGCATCAGTGGAGATTCCATTTGCGCCTGCCGAGGGCGTGTCCCATACAGCGATGGTTCAACTCCTTTCATCTCAATCCAGAAAAGGACAGGAGGATGAGGCTGCTTTTGACATTCCTGCATGTTGGCCTTGCTCCCCTTGAGGATTGTCCTTCTCAGGAGAACCACACTGGGGGACCTCTCTCATAGGAGTTTAATAGTCACAACAGATGCATAACTGCCGTCTGGGAGAGCAGGACAGTGTGGGGGCCATGTGTCGACCCTCTTTGTCATCAGAACATATAGATGCGCTTGAACATGTTTTTGAACTGAGGTTAAAAACCGCAGTTAAATTCATAACTTGTGTCACAGAGCAACTTTAATATTTATGTGGAGTCGTGTTTCTGCCCACCTGGCAAACGTTAAGTCCAATATTCACTCACTTTTAGCTGTTTTAGGTTTGTATCAAATCAAAGCTCAATGCTCCACTATGTTCACCAGCTATTGTCGCTCACTGTGTCTGAGTGCCATTTGGTCCTGAGTAAAAGTACGTGCTGAACTAAATATTGAACAGAAGCTCACGTTTGACGTTCAGCGCAGCCGTGGCAGTGCTGTGGCCTGCAGAGTTGGTTGCCACGCAGCGGTACTGGCCCTGGTTTGCAGGTACAGCGTTAGCAACCGTCAGCACAGAGCCATCAGGGCCAGTCTTAACATTATCTAGAAGGAAAAAAAGGAGAATGCAGTGAAACGTCACAGATGTTGATGTTGTGTGAACAAGGCTTACATGTTGTTAGTCCTGACCTGGTAATGCTTGGTTATTGCCTTTCTTCCACACCACTTGGATTGGCTGTGCACCTCTCCGCACCTGGCATCTAAAGCTGGCAGACTCCCCTTGGCGCACAGTAGCAGCCTGGGGCTCCACTGAGACTTCAGGAGCCTGACCAGCAACTGCACAAAAAGAGATAACTAGTGACACACACACACACACACACACACACACACACACATGCAATGCAACTTTGTGAACCTTTAGACGAGTCTGGGTAAAATACAGTGTAAACACACACCACCCCAAAGCAAACATGCTGAGCAAATACACAGATTGAACAGAAGTGCTATTGATGACAAAGCAACAAAAAAAAGGCACATCAATTAAATGAAAGTCTCTCAAAGACATTGTGTCAGAGAGGAATATTCATTTATTTTTACTTTGCTAAAAAGATCTGTATTACTATATTAAAGGGTTAATGTACCCAAATTACAAAACAAAATGGCAGCTATGCACTTCAATTTACTTTGATTTGCCCAAATGTTGAGATTTTGAACTTTGTTTTGATGCTCACAGCATGGAGAAATCACCATTACTCTGGATAACCAACAGAATATGCTTTCAACGGCTTCCGAAGGGACTATTTCTTAAATTGAAAGTTAGACAGTTAGATTTGGGATCCAAAGTAATCGGGACACCGTTTCCAAAAGGACAATGCTGTTGAAGTTTATACATATATTATTTTATATTGCTGTGTGAGCAGCAGTTCGTGTGACCATTTAAAAGTACGAGAAAAAAGATATACATCTCTACAAGCGTCAAGCTAATTAGCAGAAAAGCTGCAATTCTATTCAAAGTGAATCCGATTTATTACCTGAACACAACAGAGAAAACAGGATCAGAACCCCGGGTGAGAAATCCATGATGAACGGAGAACAGTCCCACTTCGTCCCCTGTGAAGAATCTCTCTTTCACTGTTTCTCTGTCTCTTTTTCATACAGTCACTTTCAACCTTTAACCCCTAACTTACCCTTTGCCCCTTCTCCTATTCAAATACTGTCGACCTGTTCTGCTTCACTGCCGTAATCTTACTTTGCGATCTAATTTTGTTCTCATTGTTTGATTCCAAAATCCAGTGACATTGCTGTTAACCTGCTTACAAATAACTCATGTTAGTGGTATTGCATGGACAGAAGTTGAAGGACTTATTCTGCTGATGAAAGCTACAAAAGCTGGACACTAATTGTTAAACAACAGTACACGGAGACATCGATTTCATCACTTTAGTCTTCAGAGTATTATTCTGCTTTCCAAGAAGATGATTTCTCTCCAGTGAGACACTCCATGTATCTGTCGTGTATTGACCAGTGAGCCAACAGTGATAAGTAGCTGATGAGATACAATTCAAAGGACTCAAAGTACAACTGTCCTGTTTTTTGTTACTGAATTTGGGATATTTGTGAGTAACCTCAAGCAAAGCTGGAGAATAATCAGATAAAATGAAAAAACATCCGGAAATATGTAGAGAACTAAAGTAACACGCCAAAGAACCATCGGATATGACTGAAGAGAGCAAGGTCAGTATCATTTCTACTCAGTTTGTTTCAATAGGATTATTAGCCCTTATATGTAAGATTTGTAATCGTGCAGAAGATGCAATAAAAAGTAAATTTAAGTAATTCAATCTGTTAAAGTAATGGAGTGAAGTGTAGTCTTAACTAATTAAATAATGGGCAACTAAGACTCATGATAAGGTAATAATTACGATATCATCCTATATGGACCTTGCATCCCGTCATCATGTCTGTTTATCAGGTCTCAAGATTTGTTGACATCCACCATCGAAGATGAACTCGGGCCAAAAAAAAGTCATAGACGGGAAAACAAGGCAGGTTTGGCAGCAAAAGCAGTTGCTTCAGAATATCCAGAGGCTTCTTATATGCAGCGTCACTGTTCAACACTAGAGGGCACAGACAAATAAAACACACATGGTCTCATTGGTACAGTGTGATGGGAAACTTAACACAACTGAGCAAAGCACACAGAACCTGATCTCCTGGGCTGAAGCCTCTTTGGTTCAAAAGTACTTAAGAAACATAATTACCTGTTAAAGCAATAATGTATTTAAATTCCAACATGGCAACAAACTCAAACCAGTTCTCGTCTGAAGCAAAGAAAAATTTAATAAGTGACAATGTTTTTATTCATTTTTGGTCATTTCTGCCATTTATGTTTCTGTTGTACTCTACCAATGCATTTTCTTAGTGACATTTTTCTTAAAAAACTTCAAAGGAAAAAATACATCATAAAATTGTCAACATCTAAAAATGACTTCATGCTTTCTTTTTGTCTTTTTTTTTGTCTTATTTTAAATTCTTTGAAATAAAACGATGAATGTGGTTCAAGGCGACACACACAGGCCCCGAACCTTCATACAGTTTATGATTCACTGAAGGTGAAGTAGTACATTAAAAAAGGTCTTTTCAGCATTTATTTATCTTTTTTAAAAAATAACAGAAGAAAAATGGTGTGAGTAATAGTAAAACGAAAAAAGAAAGAAAAAAGAGGTGTCAACACATTCGTAAAAGTGGAAGGATTAAAAAAAAAGAACTTTGAGAGATGTTAGAAAACGATCAGCATCACAAAGCAAAACAGAACAGTCGCAGAGTTTTGGTAATGGTCTGTTCGTGGCTTGGCTGGACGTCAACCTACAGTCTGGGTGGTGTTAGTCTGAGGAGCAGGATGGGGGGGAGGGGGGGGGGGGGGGGGCGGGGGGGGGGGGGGCATCAGCTGGAGGTGACGTAGTGTTTGCTCCCTGGTGCTCTGGGTGGGGAGAGATGGGAAGAGGAATCACCGCTGTGGTGCCAGCCGTCGTCACCCTAACCAAGAAACAGACATTCAGAGCAGGATGTAAACGAACAACACACACACACACACACACACACACCCACCCGTAGATCCACCGACACTGTTAACTCATCACTCTGTGAAGTTCAATCACGTTCAGACGTCATCTTGTTACAGACGTTCGTCATTTCAGCGTGAATGTTTCCTTTAAATGCATAAAAAACAATCCAGTGTCCCGTTTCAGTCGGCGATGTCGTCACATGCAGAGGGCCCGCATCGATAGGGTCCACAAAATGTGTCACACCACACCACGTGCTAACACGGGGAAAGGCTGTTACCATGACTCCTCAGTTGGAGAGTGTGTAACTATAGCAACAGTGGTGTAACCATGGCTACTCACACGGACACAGAGAGGAGGGAAGAAGAGTTACTCCGGGCAAGTCCTCACAACCTCCCGTCAGGAGTGTAACACTGGGCCGGGTATCCTCCTGTCGGCACACAGTCGACACACATTTTAATACTTCTGTCCTGAGTCAGAGGTGAGCTAGGTGCTCTGCTCACGGAGGGCCACGCATTTCATTTTCAAATATACACCCAGTGGTCGTCCCCGTAACAATACACCTGATATGGAGAGAGCAGTGAGGGCTGAATCCTAGGCTACGTCCATGTGTTGCTACGTTTACGCCGAGCGTCCACACGGCGCCGGAGTTTTAGAGCACCGAAAACGGAGGAGTTTGAAAACGCCGGGGTTGCGTCTTCGTGTAGACGGTCGAAAACGGAGGAGTTTGAAAACGATGACGCCCACACCCGCGTTCGCTCCTTGATTGGTTCTTAGCAGTCACGACGTGTCCTTCCCTGATTCGTCACGCCCCTATCAGGTGACCATTTCCCGGAAGCTCACAAACAACAACAGCCTTGATTATCGATCGACCACCAGGTTAATTCAACATGGACGACTGATGACAGGCGTGGCTGACCTTGTTGTCTTTACTAGCAGCTGTTGTTCAGTTAAAGTCTGCTTTTCTGCGGAGGAAGCAGCTGTTAATGGAGCAATTAGCGAGCGGCGTGACCAGCGGCGTTATCACACCTACGGAGCGGCCGTCTGAAGTCACGGTTAGCGGCTTTGAGGAGAACGGACACAAAACGAAAGACTTTCCTTTTCTTATTAATGCTAATTTTGTTCTGCACAACTATTGTGAAGTCCAGACACATAAACTATAAAGGGACTAAACATGGATTGCTCTCCAGTACGACAGAGACTTCAGCCACCAGCAGAGCTACGAGTGAGAACAGACAACAACGAAACCGAGAGGGAACGAGTGAGAGGCGTGTGTTGACCACATTTATGGACCAATAATCTAGTAAACCTTTACGTGTAAGTGTTGATTTTAAAGTAAATTTGATGTGAGAGAGAGAGGTGAAGCGGCGCTGTAACTATGTCTGAAAAATAAAACTTCTGAAACTTTCCACAAAATGTGTCTGTTTGAGTTCATAAAGGAAGATCTTAATCAAACACGACCTTTCATTATTAAAGACTACTTTATTACTCTGTCGTATTTCTTTTAACTAAGCAACCAATCTACTTCCTGTTTGCACCGGCACCCTCCCGCATGTGCAGTGTACGTGAAGAGTCACGTGATATTCGTTTTCAGGTGTTTTAGTCTGGAGGGAGATCATCTCGAAAACGATGCTGAAGCGCCGTGTGGACGGAGTATTAGTGTGGATGTAGCCTTGTTTTGATCAGATTTCACTAAGTCGTACTGATCGAAATGAAGTCGAAATGATCTCATCCGCAACCTTCTTACGTCTAAGATTATAACAGATACGTTAGAGTTATCCATAACGTTACTTTCTCCTTGTTTTAATCCCGTGACGGGAATCGGAGGTATGTTCGTTGTGTACCTGAGTTTGGCGTGGCGGGGGAGTTGGCTTGGCTTGCCTGTGAAGATACACTGGCAGCGTCCACAGCTGTCTTCACAGCATACCGGTTAGCTTCCTCCTGCAATTTTGCAACGTTCCTTTTATACCGAATCCTCTTGTTTCCAAACCAGTTCGCCACCTGAGAGTTACAGAGGGGAGAAACAAAGTCAAAACCACACCAAACGTTGTCGTCCCCCCCCCCCCCCCCCGAGTGTGTCTTTGACGGCCTGACCTGAGAAACAGTGATGGAACACTTCCTGGCCAGGTCCTCCTTGGCCTCCTCGCTGGGGTAGGGGTTTGCCAGATGAGAGTAAAAATATGTATTCAAAACCTCTGCTGCCTGCTTGCTGAAGTTTCTTCGTTTCCGCCTGCCAGAAAAAGTGCAATTGCAACGATTAACAGTCAGCGGACGCTCATCGTTTACGATGTTGTGAGTACACTGTCACACACACACTGGAAAGTTGAGAAGAGGCGGGAAAACAAACAAATAAAAGCGCAAAAAAAAAAAAACCCACCTGGCATCCAGGAACCTGGAGCGCAGGATCATGACAGCTTCACATGTGCTCTGCTTTAACTGCATCTGGATAGTGCTGAACTTGCGGTGGATGATTCCCACCATTCGCTCTATCTCTTTGGGTGAGATGGGCCGCGTACGCGACTGCTCCCTCAGCAGGTTCATCACGTGGTCGGTGAACTCATTGCATGCCTGCATGGGAGTGGGGGGAGAGAGACAAATAAAGAATCCAACAAACTCAAACATTAGATGTTGTTTTCACTGCACTTCATTTCAAAAACCCTGGTGGGATCTACAGTCATGTGACACGTGTCATGATGAAAAGTACCACACCTGTTGGTATTTCTCCAGCTCAGCATGGTACATCCGTCGTATCTGAGCGAGCTTCTCTTTGTACTCGCTGTGGTCTACGCTCCCCCCCTCGCTGGGCGACCCTCCGGCTGCAGCGGCGACCACGGCCGCCGCTGCAGACGCCCCGGCCCTCTCCGGACCCGCGACCCCCTCTGCTAACAGCATGTTGTCCAGTCGCATGATCTGAGGGTCGGGGCCGTCTTCTTCTTGGATGCCTCGGATGCTCAGGGCTGTGTGTGTGTGTGTGTGTGGGGGAAATAGAGACACAAACACATCAGATGTGATTTCTATTTACAATACTCCCCAACTGCCATTTGTGAATCCTGCTCATGCAACACTGACATGTTCATTCACAATTCCTGGCGCAGGCAAGTAGAACTAGAAAAACAGGATTCAGTCATGAGTTAGAATAACTGCACGAGTAGTAGACTCAGTCAACACTTTAAGCTGCTTCCTAACATCGTTTCCTTCTGATCTGCTTCCCCTGTCGTCACATTTACATTTCTTGATATTTGATATTTGACCGTTTTTAATTATTTGATTGAATAATTGTTGCATTACGATCTGAAGCGCAGACGTTGTCGTGCTGCGAGCCCAATCTGTGATAAAGAGAAGAATTATAGGAAACATGTTGAAAATATTCAAATGAAAAACACCAAATTGTGTGTAACTCGATAGGGTTTGTGTCTTCCAGCACAGTCAGGTTTCCCTTCACAGCCAGCAGAGAGCACTATCTCACAATATAAGACCCACAACAAACATATGTCCACACTATAGACACACTCTTTCTGCTCCATCAGTAGAATGTCCTCAAACAAAAAGCTGCAAACTCCTTCTCCTCAGAAATATCAAGAATGATCTGCTGGGTGCTGAAGAAACAAGCCGATGTTTTAAATCTCCTCTGTCCTCGAGCCCTGGTTTGGCCCAGTCTCTAAGTAGACGGTGGTAATGAAAGTGAAACATTACAATAGCTTTAAAGTAATATGTTTTCTCACATCAAATCAAATATACAGCCCAAACGGCCCAGTTGAACTTCAGAAAACTTCAGAGAAACCATGATTTAATAGCCCGGAAAGAGCTGACACAATATAACACCGGACGACAGAGGAAACCTCAGTCGTAGCTTTGTTAGTGAGAGGCGGCGAGGAGATCAAGTGTCTGGGGCTAACTGGAGAGAGAGAGAGAGCGAGAGAAGAGGAGGAGGAGGAGGCAGGGGAAGGGAGACACAGACAACAAAAAACACTGCCAGGAGGGAGGTTTACATAAAGAAATACTGGCTGTTGCTATGGTAGTGATGCCAGCTTTCCTTGGCATCCTCATGCCCAAAGAAAAACAGCCACACACACACACACACACACACACACACACACTCACAGCTGTTAATTAACGCCAGCTCTTAAGGAGCGACTAAAGACCCAGTGAAAAATTAAGGCTCATTTGAGAGGTCGTTAATTTGCACAGCTATGCAAATTAGGTGGCAATTACAAGGTAGTTCCAGAGATCACATTCATAATCCCGCAACGAGGGCAATGACAGCCTCCGCATCTGGCAAACAGCATCCACACACACAGACACACACACACACACACACACACACACACACACACACACACATCTAAAGACACTAACAATCGGTGATGGCCTCCAATTATTTCAGACACACTAGCAATTTCCAAAACCATGTTACAGTACAGTAATATAGTTTAATATGTGAAATATGTCTGTAATATTACAACCAAATATGAGCATACTGCACCTAACATACTAATGTGCCAGATTAACCAGATTACAATATAATCCCACTGCTCTCAAAGTCCTGCGTGCTCTTGTAGCCCGAGTGAGTGTCTTCATTGGCTACAGATCACAGGCTGTATGGATGTCCAAAGAGGGATGGTTGCCAGTTTACAGAGGAGCACTTCTCATCATCTGAATCCTGCATTTATACGTCCAACCTCCCAACCGCTCCACTCTACTTGTGTAAAGTGGAACATCAGAGAGAAATGTTCCTTTATTGGAACAGTGAAATATACATTTAGTTTATTCGGTGTACCAAGCGATGTTTCGTAGAGATGCGTTTCTTTTAAATCAGAGTAGAGGACAGAGGAAATGTTTATTACTTATTCATAATACTCTGGTTTTTACTCTGTCTCTTGTGTGCATTGTCCACTATGCTGCTGTAATCCTGTAAATGTCCCCGCTGCGGGACTAATAAAGGATTATCTTATCTTATCTTAAATATTGGAAAACGCCGCCGCTCAGTACAATGCAATAAAATTCAACAGCAAACTACAGCCAACAAAAATGACCATTTAGTTTAATCAGCAACTCTCTGAAACGGTTTTAACAAAAACTGCATATTATAACGTGCATTTATTACAGGACCACTGTGTTAGAATGAACTGAGTGTATAAGAAAAGAGTTAACGCGGTAAAGACAGCGGCAGAAAGACAAAGACACGGGTATTGAAATGGTGCCGGGGTCCCATTACTGTTAATTACATATTAATTAGTCCAGAGTGTGGCCCAGCCTTCCAGATTGCCCGTTGACTCTGTCGTGTGTACAAACACTAACACACACACACACACACACACACACACACACACAGTAGACGGGATAAACAGATGAGCGGCGGCCCATGACGCTTCGAGGAACAGCGCGAGTAAATCCAGCTTTGTGAGCCCAGTCGGGGCCGTGGGTGGCAAACTGTCCCCCACTGAGAATCTGTTTGTAGTGAAGGCTGACAGGACTCCGGGGTCTGGAGATTATCAACTGTCTGCCATACCATGAAACACAACCATTACTGCCTCTCCCTACAACCCATCCATCAATCTGTCCCTCCCTCGCTCTTGTCAGTTCTTTTCTGTTTTCTTTACTTTGCCTTGGTCCTATTTTGTGCGCTGTAATCCTCTCAAAAATTCCCAGAAAAAAACAGGGTGGCTAAAAAAAAAAATAAGAGTCGTATTGGGAATAGTATGAAAGAAGGAGGGGGAAAAAGAGACACATAGGACAACGGAGACGTGAGCAGACGTACCCGAAGGAGGACGCAGGGAACATGTCGCTGTCATGTGAGGAGTTATTTTTAATGGTTCTAACTCGGGATGGAGAGGAACGAAACACTGACAGCAGAAATAGGGAGGCAGCCCGGTTCGAGACAAAGAGAGGGAGGAGTAATATATTCTAAACTTCCAGAATAATCTAGATATGGAGACTGCCGGGAAGCCCAGAAAACCACTTAGAGATCAATTGTGTGTATCAGAGCTGTGTTTCCACAACATCAGTTACTGAGCATATCAGTGTGAAGAAGCAACAACACACTGATGGAAAGCGGGGACTCTCTGTCCCTTTGTAGGTATCGTGATACGGATCAAGGGTCCAAAACACATTTGGACATTCATACCAGATTATTGCTTTAGGCTACATATGGGTCATCCCCATACACAATCACACAGGCCTGGGCTCTGAACTACATGTATGATAGCTTTATGGAAGTGCGTGTGTCAATGGCAAGCTTTGTTTGATATTTCATGGTTATTAAAAGCGGTCAAGGATGTTGATTTCCGTGTAAAATGGTGCATATGATGATGTGGCCAGGTAATAAGACTCCTTCACCAGAAGTATTAGAAGTTGACGCAATAACAACTGTGAGGCTGTGGCATATTTAACTATTTTCATTACAGTTGTAGCGTGTACTTCCTGCTTGACTGGGACTTGGCCACAGCCAGCAGCTTAATTGAACACACCTGTGGAGGCAGAGCTGCTGGCCAGGAACGGAGGGACGGGGGGGGGGGGACTGAAGCGAGCGGACGAAAACCGCAGAGCCCAACTTTGGTGGCGGTCCAAGGAACCGGGGCCACAAGCTGTAAGCCGACTCACCCGGGAGAGCTCTTGCACGACCGGGACAAGTTGTCCAGACAAGAGTGGGAGTACGGCTCGAGTGAACGGGTGAGAAAGATCTAGTGCGGGCTCGCGACTCACGGCTGCTCTCCTATTGCCTCCAGGCGACGTCAGCGGCGCGTCAGCGGCGCGTCAGCGTAACGCAGCGGCGGAGAGGACCTCGCTAAGCTAGCGGCTAGCATACGAAGCCTGTAAGTGTGGTTTGGGGACGAGCGGCCTGTGAACCTAGTGGCCGGACAAAGAAACGCGGCGGTGGACCGCAAAGCAACTGTCGTAAAGACGAGAGGACTTCGGTTCAGCTTGTATTTATTGGACTTGTATTGATTTTTTAAAATAGTGTTTACATGTAGTCATTTTTACAGAAGGCCTTACTTTTAGCAGAAAAAAAACAAAAAAATTGTGCCGAGCAAATTCACTATTTACCTCCTGTTTGAGTAACTTTAGTTACACTTCATGGCTGTTATGGGATATTTCTGAGCCTTTTTTAATAATGTGTCTGGCAGGAACAGATTGGCTTGGGGCTGAGTGCTCCAGAGAGTACTGAGACTGAAACGTTGCTAGTTTAGAAGTTTTCATGGGATTTATTGACCCTGAAAAAGATAATAATAATGATAATACCAGATCCTCTTATCAGTTAGGAAGAGGGAGCGTTATGGCTGAGAGGCGTAGCAGTGAGCACTCGCTTAACTCAATGCATAAAACCCAGATCAGAGCATATTACCCGTGATGACCCGATGACACCGAACGCAAAGATCAGCTCTTTCTGGGTCAAAGCTGCGGTGTGAGAAATACACAACGGAGGCTGTCAGCGTGTGAAACATCTGAATGACAGCGAGCAGGTGAGACAACTACAGCAGTTGCCTTGGAAACTCTGCATCCCTCCTGCAGCCAACCTCAGGGTTCCCGTTTACACACCGAGTGAATGAAATGAGGTAATAACAAGGGCTCCGTGTCGCTCACACTTCTGTCTGCTTCGTGTCTGGAAGGAGTTCTCCGCTCTAAAGACAAAGTTGAGATGATTTTCCACCAGCTAAAACACAAACCTGGGCCCCTTTTACTGTTCAAAACGAGCTGCTGCATCAGTGGTGTGTGATGGAACGTCAGGATCGGACATTTAAGGTGTAAGATAATTGTAACGACCATCTCATTTCTCAGTGAAAAGCGTCTGTCGGTAAAAGATGCTCCACCTGTTTGGTGGTGCTTTTTAGAGGAGCGCATTCAGCAGAAGATAAGTTTTAGAAAAATGTCAACACAAGCTGAAGATAGAGGGTGTGACACACTGAGCACAAGAGGAAGAAAGTGAGACAATATATTGAGAACATGTAGCGGGTAGATGAAGGAAGGCTGGGAAATCCTGGCTGGACAATATTCTTATATCTTTCTGTCCCTGATGTGTCTGTCTCTTTATCCTTATGTTCTCAATTTGACCAAAAATGATGAATTTAAGCCTGAAGTTCAAAGTAATGGTTGTGGACTGTAGGCTTAAACCTCCGCTACAATCACGGCTGCACTGGAAGAGTAAGAAATGTGCATTCTTATCAGCATGAAAGCCTTCTCTTTACTGGCTGATGAGGAAAACAAACAAACCATAAGACCAGGAACCATATGGACAACTCACCTGTCCTTTCTTTGATCTCACACAGGACACTGAAGAGAGCGGGCTTCATTCTGTGGCAGTTTAAAGCGTGTTTCCTTTTATGGAAAGTGAAAGACACAGAGAATGTAAATTGTTACAGCCATTCTGTTGGTTAACAGGCACTGACATCCACCAACAATAGATCATGTAGACACATTGCAAGTCAGTGCTGAACAGACTGGATTCAGATGAGTGAGTGTGCAACCAGACCTGTTCAAGCCCTTGACTGAAAACAGGCCTGAGCACATAGTTGTCTAATTCACCTGGACTTACTCACCTTAGTGAAGACAGACAAGAGGAGAGATTGACGGCACAATCGTGCAGAAACTCTGAGAGCTTAAAATGGAACAAGCCTGTGTCCACATAGAATAGGGATGGCACGAATATAATAGTGCAACAATCAATATTGCAATATAATGTCACACTACGGTACAATATTGATACTCTGACACCAGTTTTGTGACACTATTTCTATTACATTACTGTGGCATAAATAGTTTACTATTTGCCTGCATACATCTGATGTGAAATGTGCCGTTTGCTGGCAGTTGTTTGCCCGTTTTTGACTATTTGAATTTGTACATCCTGTCACACGTCCGTGTTGCTTATAAAACCTGACTTATCTCGACTTGTTATAACACTCTGAATGTCATACTTCAGGCAGTTCTTAAGACACGATTTGATTTCTACTTAATGAAATTTACATCACGAGATGAAGTCGAAAAAAACGAGAGTGAGAAAGACAATACATTACGTAAATAATACGTAGCATGCTGTGAATGAAGGACTTCATTTTATTTGCACATATTATGTGAATAGATCAGACTGAATATATGTGTATCGCAGTATTTCCTGTGTGTTGAGACACTATTTTGAGGAAACTACTGTGATAGCATCGTGAAATTAACACGATATTAATCAGGATACTTCCCCCCCCCCCCCATCAGTGTGTATAACAACGTTATAAATGCATCTACAATAACCAAACTGCATTCTACTGTTAAACTTAACTTGCAACCAAAGTCTCCATAATGTAGAACTGAGTTTATTTCTAATTAGTGGCAATCTAACATGATAAGATTTTGCATTATTATGAGTAACTTTGTGATTTCATGGCCCAGAGGGGAGTGCTGTGGAGCCTGTGTTGTACTGTTGATAAGACCTGTGGGGGGTGAACGGTGGTGATGCACAGCTGGAGAGGGGGCACAAGAACCCCATCAGCATTCTGCAAGTTAGGGGTGTTATTACAGTCTGTTACAATGTCTGATGTGTGTGTCTGGGTGTGTGTGTGTGTGTCTGTGTAAGCCCATGCACGTTTGAGGAGATACTGTGATGACTATTCCCCCCCCCCCTGCAGACCCAAATCCAACTCCTAAACAATATATCAGGCCTTATCTGCTCACGGCATTACCTGGCCTGGGCCTCATCCAGACTCTCATCTGTGATGACCATGATCTGCTGGAGGATGTCACCGATGTCCTGCTGCGGCTGGCCCATGTTGTGATGTTTCCTTATGTTGTCAGGATCCCCCACGTCCTCGTGAGGCAGTCCAGTTAGTCCAATATGACCCAACATCATGCGGGCCTGCTCGTCCATACCTACAGTGTGGCTCTTATTGTGGAGAGAGAGAGAGAGAGAGAGAGAGAGAGAGAGAGAGAGAGAGAGAGAGAGAGAGAGAGAGAGAGAGAGAGAGAGGGAGAGAGAGAGAGAGAGAGAGAGAGAGAGAGAGAGAGAGAGAGAGAGGAGGAGGAGGAGGATCACTACAAAAAGGGGTTTCCTTCTCCAACTTTCAGCACTTAGAAAAAACGAGAGGTTGAAAAGTTTCCCATAAAAAAAAAAAGAAAAAAGCATACAGGGCTCAAAACAGCGAGAAGTGTTGGCTCAGCTGGAGCTGCCTGCTTGTGTTGGTGTGAGTAACAAAGCAAAAGAGACAGAAGTGCAGCCGCCTTAGCTTTTACTCATCCGAAGAAAACGATACAAAACCGGGGCTCTGGAAACGGGTTCTTCTTTGGCATTGGGGGTCTGGGGGGGGGGGGGGGGCGGTTAAAAAAAAAAAAATTTCCTTCTTTCAGATCCTGTTGTTTTTATAAGTAGCCTGACGCGCTACGGACGTCTTTTCTTCCCCTGAAAAGACGACCAAGACGCTCCAGATAATTACCAAAACTGGCTTGTTACGGAGCTCATTCCCGTTTGAGAGAGGCTGGTCGGCTCTCGCGTGTTAAATAATGGTCTGATCGGTGCTATAGCTGTATCTAATGACCCGGGAGCCCCTTTGATGTCGTCGTCTCCGCCTGCTCTCCTTTTATCCATGAGTCCCGTATCCTTGCTCGGTAATTAAAAGTGAGAACCGACACGGTCACCTAAAAGACGGTCCGGGAAAGGTGTTCCCGAGGAACTTCATCTATCTGGTCCCGTCCAAGTCCCGCAAATTCAGGTTTGTAGCCTTTAGTTGTTGCTTATTGCTATTTTTCTTTCCCCGTACGGCTGTTGTCCCACTCCTCCCAGAAAAACACCACCATGGAGCAATGCCGTCCTCTGTCAAATTACACGAGACGAGAAAAGACTACTTCCGCTCCAACATTTCAGACTAATGCACCTTAAAGCAGATAGCCCGATTAAAGGAGTAGGTTTAATGAAGTAATACATCAATAGACAGGCCATGTTTTGTATACGCGCAGAGATATTTTTTTACAGAATATACGTCAATGCAAAATGCCAAAACACACAAACTGTCCAACCAAAGGTCACGTGAGGCTGCTTTTGTTTTTAACAGACGAGAGATAGTCCTAATACAGTTTGTCCGCGTGAAGGGGCCGGTATAGTCGTGTTATGATTAATCACTTTTACATTTTCTGTGCTCTTTTTCTCCTGGTCAGCACCCTACAACAGCAGAATTTGCCTACTTCATTGTATTGTAATCGATCCATTGAGACTGCATATATTGTGCAGGGTAAACGGATTCATCTGGACATTTATATCTGCTTTAATTCACGAGCCTGCTAATCTGTATTGTGAAAATGATATATTGTATAAATGCTGTTATTATGTGTGCAGTGAATGTGAAGTCTTCCACAAAACTTGTCCTGGAGGTGACGGTAAAATGGTTTTAATATCCAAATAGAATGACATGGTCACTGAAATACAAAGAGCTGCAGAACAATGCTGAATTATACACTATTATACGTTATATAATTTAAATGTCTGAAACATTATTTAGAGTGCTACCGTGCAAAGTCAAGTGGCCGACACAGAAATGGAACAATGGTTTAAAAAGCGGTTTTTGATTCAGATAGTAGCGCGTTAGTGCTTTTATTTTGAAAGAAACAGTGATTCAATTCCGGCCTCTTTCTGGCTTTTTCTGGTTCCCTTGACGCAGCTCTCCATCAGTATGTCGGCGGGCTCCGGGGAATGCTGCAGTTTGATCTGAGACCGCGAGGAGGCCATCGCTTCACCATGGAAACAATGTTGTTGTTGATGTTGATGATGATGATGCGACCAATACTAATAAGTGTGTTCGTCTGTGTGTGTGTGTCAGGGTGCCCGTGTGTGTGATGGATGTCCTAGCATACCAAAACGTGCCCTCTCCCTACAGACACCGTCCTGCTATTATGGTGACCTCATCGTATTGTATAGTAGCCTATTGTCTATAATGACATTTTATTTCTACGTGACTTTGTGTTTCATCCGTTTCAAAGAGGACTCTCATACACCTTCTTACCTCAGTAGCTACACATGTTTACAAGCTGTGGGTAAGCCTGTGTGTGTGTGTGTGTGTGTGTGTGTCGGTGTGTGTCTGTGTGTGTCTGTGTGTGT